CCTGAAGGCGCAGTCCGACTTGACCCGAATGGTTCAAATGGACACGAACTTGATTCGGAACGAGGGGCTCTATGACCGAGTAGGCGGATAGCGGGAACAAATAGGAGTTCTAGAGTCAAAAATAACTCATTGGGATTTTTGAGTAGTGCACAAGGAGAAGTTGATGAGTCCAGTTCATGGGTTCTTTTATGCTGCTTTGAGGTTGCGGCAAGACCCCCAGTCTATCTTAACTTTACAATTTCGTCAATCATCTGGATTAGTCTTAAAACTTGTAAAAATGAGTTTTTCTCAAAATCTAGGATTCCCTCAGCCACGGACGACAGTAAATGACGCACAATGACTTCACCAAATCTATATAGTTCTAAAAATTTCATAGTCTAGCCCGCCCAGAATCGCGGGGAGCTGACATAATCTCGTCGATCAACCTTGACCCTTCACAATCCCACTTCTCATTCTGTTTTTCGGCTTGCATCAACCCGAATTGATGTCGGAACGTGTTGCCCGTGGGAAGAATACAAAATGAAAAATCTCCCTTTGAACGCCCGAATGACGACAGGTTCGGCTGCAAATTCGGAACAAGCTGTCTGGGAACAGATTCAGCAGCAAATAACGGCGTTTAACCAGCCGAGGATGATGCACATGCATCCATTGATCGCGGCGGTGGGGACCAATCAGAATGCATACATTTCGACCTCCTAGGATGGTCGGGTGGGCAGAAGATATTGCCGCTGGGTCCTAGGCCCTATTTTTACTGGTTATTACTGGACGACGATAATTCCTCGTTGTGGTTGTGCAATAAGATCAACGCCAGGCTCCGAGTGGTACCTGGTCTATACATCCAAATCCAAGCCCTAAGAAAGAAACCCATGCATATTACGTCTCAACGCCGAAAGCCATGGCCTGGACCACGGACTTTGAAGAATGACTCCTAAATATACATCGCACATGAGCGGTCTGCTATTATTGTATGGGCTTTTATCGGTCACCGTCGCCGTTGCCTCTCGGGATGTGCAATTCTAC